AATATACAGCTCACTCTTACAACATAACGCAGGCAAATCCAACATTGAGTTCTTGTTATCTTTTGTCTTTTTGGGGACGTTCAGTAATGTATTGATGATGTTCTCAAAGAAGTTATTCTCTATATGCATCACACCAAGATTGTGCCGCAAGAGTAGATTCTTTCAGTATGGAAGTTCCCAAAATATACTCTTCATGTGCTAGTTATGTTGTGTCCCGTAACCATCAGGTATATTTGCAGGAGTATGCCAATTACCCCTTTTCTTGACTGTTTCTTGTGCACCATAGTAATCAATATATTTTTGAATTTCCTCTCCAGATATATAATGAGGTGTGGTGTCCCGTACAACCACTTTAGCCTTGAATAATGTCTTGTTTCGCCGGTACGGATGGCTAAGGGGGAAAAATATCTGATGACAATCAAACCAAGACGTCTTCCTACCATGTTCAGCTGAAATGCACATGTGATTCCCATACAATAAAGACACGCTAGTCTTTCATGCGTAGTCCAAATTGATAGCATCTCATATACAGGAAAGTCACTTATAGCCCACAAAAGAACGGTTCGCATTGTAAAGTTAGTTCTCATTGGACAATCATACGTTTTCACCCCTACTAACCACAATTCCTTGAATTCTTCTATCAGAGGTTGTACGAAAACATTGAGGGACCGCTTTGGATGCTTAGGCCCAGGTAACAATATACTCATGAAAAGGAACTCACTTTCCATACACATCTCTGGTGGAAGGTTGTATGGCGTCAAGATGACTGGCCAGAGTGAGTATTGTCTTCCAGACACCAAAAGGACTAGATTCATTTGTTCACAATCCAAGATAAACATTGCGAATGTTGCTTGCAAAATCTTTATGCACCGAATTCAAGTGTTTCCAAGCTTTTGCATATGAGGGATGATTGATCTCGCATTCCTTCTGAGTAGGTTCTGCATGCCATCTCATCACTGCTGCAGTAAGATTGATATAATCTCTTCAGCCTATTTGTAATAGGTAAGTACCACATTCGCTGGTACGGTACCCTATTCCGTCCACGTTCTTGCGGTTTATATCGTGGCTTCTTGCAAAATCGACACTCCAACAACTATGCATCTTTCCTCCAGAAGATCATACAGAGTTATCTATATACGCATCTATCATCTCCGAATGTAAGCCAAGACTATGAACTAGTTTCTGAATCTCATAGTAAGATTTAGCACACACATTATCTTCAGGCAAATACTCTTTAAACAACTCAACCCATGCATCCATACAAACTTCGGGTAAGTTATAATCAGTTTTGATATTCATCATCCTAGCTGCCAATGATAATTTAAAAAGACTTTCTTTACAACCTTCATAAATTGGCTGATTAGCAGCGGCTAACATGTCATAAAAAAATTTGGCTTCCAAATTAGGCCCCTCAACATTTTCTACGGCTACCTCTACATTTTCTACTTCTGCGGAAATTACTGAGTTTGTTTCACAAAATGCATCAGTAATCATATCATGCATCTTATCATGATCTACCACCTGATTCTTCTGAAGGTAACTTTCCAAAGGCAAATGTTGTCCTCTATTACGAACATTTTCAAACTGATTACTACTATTAGCTTCATTCCTACTATCACCTTCTCCATGATGAAACCAAATGTAGTAATGTGGAGTAAATCTTCTATTTACTATATGTTTCCAAACCGTTTCACTAAGAGCGTATTTAGTATTCTTGCACTTACGATAGGGACATCATATTTTATCATTTTCTTTTGTGAGAGACGTGTTTCCGGCCTGGTACATAAATATTTTTGCCCCGTTGAGGAACTAGTTTGTCACCTTTCCCTCATAATCTTTATGTGCATACATCCAACTCCAAAGCTCATAAATATTTTGAGATATTTCTTTTAATTCGAACTTGTTTCGTTTTTTTTTTGTGTATTTAAAAAGTGAAAGATGAGATCATATTTATAAGAAAATTTCGATATGGTAGGTGAGGAAGTTACCACAAATTTACTACCATATCATTTTATTACGGATTAACTTCTTCCAGACGTAAATTAGATACTAAATGTTTAGTCATAAAATGGTTGTCGAATAATAACTTATTTACGACGACATTTGTACTTCGTTGTAAAACAAACGTTATTTTACTTTTAAATTACGACTAAATGTTCTGGTCCCAATTTTACGACTACGTTACGATGATTATATCTTTAGTTGTCATATAGTCATTAAATACACGTAAATTTACGACTACAGTATTGTTGTTGCAACTTGTGGTCATTAAGACCGTATTTTCTTGTAGTGCTGGACACTTTGCCCAATCCACAGACAACAACAGTTTATCAACAATTTCTCAAGGGTTTTTACCGGTACGTAAAAGCTAAAAAAGTGGTATCAACACAAATTCTAAACAAACCGAACCCGATTCGGTTTGCTGTGCACCAGAGATAAAAACTAGCGTCTCTAGATAAAACAACAATTTTTAGTAACCAACTAAAAGTTGTAACCTAGAAAACAAAAAGAAAGATTTCAAGCGAGTAAAAACCAAAATACTTGGGACATACACTGACTTTTAAACTCAGCTTGGAACTCTGACACCAAAGTGCTAAAGACGACACAGTTATAACAAACACGTTGCATTTATATGCCAAAATTATTTGTAGATCCAACTCTAACACTCTCACATTTCCATTGGTGCAACATCTTGATCTCCTGCACCACCTTGTTCCACAGGTGCATCAGCTTCAGCCTGGGCTTCACCACCATCCTCCTCTTCCTCCGCAACCTTCTCAAACGTATCAATCACCTTCTGTATGCTTTCCTGGTCCAAGAAGTGGAATGGTTCATCGACTCCTAGAACAGAAACCGTGCAGAGCGAGCTCTTGAGTGTTTCCCCTTGCAAAGTTTCCCTTATGGCCAAAATAGCATCTTTGATCAGATCTTCTCTTGATGACTCCTTGAAGCTCTCGAATCTTCGTTCAAGATAAGTTTTCGCAGCTTGTGAACGAGACCCGATGGCGAATGCTTCATATTCAAAGTAGTTTCCGCTCGGGCAATTGTAGTACAGATGGGCTCCTGACTCGTCCAGTCCACCTACCAGTAAACCCACACCATAAGGTCGTTTCCATGACCGCTGGGTACATACCTGCTCATGAAGACGTCCGACAGAGGGTAAGCACAAGACAAACAAATGAGGGTTCTTGTCAGAAATCAACCGAGAAAAATGTCAAATATAGCAGCTAACTCTAAACCTGTTGAAGCTATGAGTACATTATTAAACATAAGAACTCTAAATTAGACGCCAAAGAGAACATATAGCACAACGTTCTATTGCACAAGAGAGGGTGAGTACACACCACAAGCAAGTGAATAAACGCAAAGAACACAAGTTGAAACCACAAAACGAATACAACGTAAAACAATTTTCTAGACCAAATGTAAAAAAAAAGATAACAAATGATGCAAACAGCAACAAACACAGCTAAAAATATAAAAGCAGCACATTCTTATACAGTTCTATTGCCTCAAGTTGATAACTTTTACAGCTTTCTCTTGCTAAAGGCTCTATCTTTTTGTTGGTAAAGTTCAATACTCAAACCCAAGACCTTGAGGTTCACACAATAAAGTGTTCCTACCACAAATTGGTCTAAAGGCTATATCTTTTTTTCCACAATCCAATATTCGAAACCCAAGACCTTGAGGTTTCGAGGGTTAAATTGTTCTTACCACAAAGCTATGGTCACATCGTTCTAAAGTCTATGTCTTTTTGTGTACAATTAAGTATACAAACTCAAAACCTTGAGGTTTCGAACATTAGAAGTGTTCCTACCACAAAGCTATGATCACACTGGTTTAAAGGCTATATCTTTTTCTGGACAATCCAATATTCGAACCCAAGACCTTGGGACCTAATTAAGGTTTCGAACATTAAAGTGTTCTTACTACAAAGCTATATGGTCATAATGGTCTAAAGGCAATGTCTTTGTAAATCAAAGAAGCAGCAAGAAGAGTGAAAGGAGTAACCTGAGCCTTATCAGCAAGACGAACGACGAGACGGCCAACGGGGAGAGGAGACTCATAGGTGAAGGAGTGATTGATCGATTCAGATCTCATGTAACGAGAGAGAACACGGCCATCGGCGGTGAGACCAGCGATGGCAACACCGATGTGGTCATCGACTTTGAAGATCTTCCTTTGGTGAGAAGAGAGCTCGGATTGGGCTTTATTGACAGAGGCGAGGACTACATGGGAGCGAGATCTGAGTCCGACTGCGGCGGAGCCTTGCTTGACGGCTTCCATGGCGTACTCTACTTGGAAAAGACGACCAGTGGGACTCCATGTAGTCACATCTGTGTCGTACTGGTTCCTGAACATCTTTGCTGTTGCTTCTTCGTACAAAAGGTTTGAACATTGAACAGAGAAAGACGCAGAGGAGAGGAAAAGCTTTTCGTTTGGTTTAAGCTACGGATGGTTTGGTTTCTCTTAATGGGCTCTCAGAAGAACTAAATGGGCTTATACAAATCTACACTGGGAACATATGGCATCAAGATGGCAAAATCGAATGTGCCCAGTACTATATGAGCGAGGTGAACAATATTTTTCTTTTTTTTTAACTCAACTTCAACTTTATATTTACCAAAGATTGATACAAATATTTTACATCACATAAGTATTTTAAACCTCATTTACAAACAAAGAGATTTAGTAACATCTAAGGTCACTGTTTGGTTCATATACTACCAAATAAAATTCTTTGTAGTAATTTCACTCGACAAACACAAAATCACTACTATATTAAAAGGAGCAAATCCTCAATTGTGAGAGTGTCATGTCACCCAAAATATTCAACATGTATGTTATTTTTTCAAATTGTTAGCTGTTTTTAGTTTAATTGCGTGCTGTTTTATTTTAGGTTAATGTTTTCTTTTTTGGATGGGCTTTACTTCTCTTAAAGTTAAACAATCAGTCCATTAGGAATTCTTTCCACATTCTTCGTTGCCTCCAGACGGTTCTGAATCTGGCGAGTCAGTTCTAAATATTCAATCTTTTGATTCCTCTTCCAATCTTTATCGACGAATCGCTTCATCGTTGCCGTCGTTTCTCCTCTCTTAATCACTCATTCATGTTCTTTAGTAAATCTTTTCAAGAGAATTGGTGTCTTTCCAACTCTCTCTTTCTTCTCCTGTATAACCCACTTCATGAAAGGTTTAATCAAAAGCAATCTCTTCCGAGGGGAAATGTGAAGCCTTCGAGTCACTGAGCTTGCAATCAAAGCAATCTCTTCCCCTGGGATTTCAAGCTTAAAGGTTATCATTATAGTTCTGCTTGGTTTTCGCTTTTGTGTTTTTTAATGGCCATGTTAAAGTGTTTCATGCAAATCCACTTCCTAATCCTTGGGCTGCGGGAAGTCTATGTTTACTACTCTGGTTCAGAAGCAATATCGTCTATAATAAATTGCTTGATTAGTTCATTAAGTTCTCGCTATTTTTCTGTTATTAGTAGTTTGTCTATGAGTAAGTTTCTTCGGCTGTTATGCCTAAGATGTTGTTACTATTGTGGACATGTGTTCAATCTTTTCCCTCGGTCCAGTTTATGAATCTCAACCCACAACTCCGAACCATGATTGATTCGAATCCTCAGTTGAGGGAGATGATGCAGAATCCAGATTCCCTTCGTCAGTTTAGCTCTCCAGAGATGATGCAGGTCAGTCGGGTCCTCCTACGTTATCTTTACACATGTGAATTTCAAACATGTGATCTCTCCAAATTCCAAAGAAAAATTTATGTATATGTAAACTATTACCAAATGATGAAGTTTCTTTAACCTAATGTCATGTATTGTGTTTTTTTGGTCTTTAGAAAATGGCGACTCTACAACAATCACTTTTCCCTCAGAATAGGAATACGACCAGCAAGTAAGTGTGGATACCATTCTCCTGTCCTGTATATAGGGGGATCGTCTTTTGTGTTTAGACAATAGTGTGACTAGCTAAACAGATAATCCAATTGGTGGGGAATCATTTTTATTTTAAGCAATGGTTGAATCATGACTCATGTGTAATGCATCAATTCTTATATTTTTACTGTGTTGATCGTTGGTAAACCCTTAGGGTTGTGAAGCATTTTAGTTGTTGAAGTGCACTTGAACATAAAAAAAAATTTTTCTCTGAGGTTTTACCTTTTTGGCATAAGCTAGCAGAGTGTTGATATACAGATCTTATTAATTTTTAATTGCTATCAATCGTTATTCATGTTCCCAATCCATCTTCTCTGTAGGAACCGGGGCAAACTGGTGGTGTTGCTGCAGGTACTTGCAGATATATAATACATGTATCTTAATTATAATGGCCTAAGTTATTTCTCTTATAGAGTTATAGTCGCCTTTTTTGTAACATTTGCTTCAATGCACGTTTTTATTCTAGCACATACATATTCACATGCAACTTAATGAGTAAATTAGTATGAACGCAATGTGTATAGGGACCGGCAATAACGCAAGGCTGGATTTATTGATGAATATGTTTGGCAGTCTCGGTGCTGGCGGCCTGAGTGGCACGAACCAATCCTATGGTTCTACAGGGTGCCTAAGTACTGTTTAATCCCACTGCGATTGCCTCCGAACCTCAATACTAGGGACTGGATACACGCTTGATCACTAGAAGAATCATGCAAGGGCTATTTTCTTACAAAAACAGAGCCATTAACAACTTCCTTCCTTCTCAAGTTTCATCAAGTAACCCCAATTTAACTCCAATTTTTATGTAATAACTTTGTCTGTTTCAATTATTTATTTTATGTAATGTTTTTGTTTCTCTGTCTGTTTTAATTATTTATTTTATGTGTGAAACTGTGCTTCTCTCTCTGTTTATAGTGCATTCACATGCCTGTTTGTGTATGAAGATACGTTCTATATCATTCTTTGATATTGAAAAACATGAAACTGCAAATTACAGGTGGTCTAGAGCTTGGACAGAGCATAAAAGTTGGTAAAGGTATGAAGAGGCATAAAAGCTTGCTTTACAACACTCGCTTGAGGCTTGTAAGTTATGGAAAGACTAATTTCAGTTTCAGTTTCCTTTTAATTCTACTTTTGATGTAAGGTTCTTGGTATGAAAGTCCATAAAGAGAGTTGTATTGATGTTTGTGTATTAGTTGTTCTTTGCAGGAAATAAGCTTAAATGTTAACACTGCTAATACTATTGGTCCAGGAGGTTCAATTGACTCCATCAGCGTTGTAGGTTGGATGGGAATGCGCACTCGCCTTGATGACGTAACTCAGTTCCTGCAACAAAGAAGGGGCATTGAGACGGGGTGAAACATGGACTCCACTTCTGAACATGTTCTACAGCAGCAAGTTACAGCTAGAGAAGATGTACAAAGTCCAAATACAATTCTATGAAGTAAAATTCCTTCATCTCACATGGAACACAATTCTTTTGCCAAAAACTATATTGTTTTCCTTAGAACAAAAATATTGACTGTTATAAACTTATAAAACAAGTTTTGTTCTCACTGAAGCGAGACGTTATGAGAACAAGATAAAAAAATGTACAAGTTAGAATTACAATTTTCCAACAAATAATCTTAAACAAACGACATTTAGAAAAGATATGAGTGCTAATCACAAAAAAATTAACACAGTCTTAAGTTAGTTAAAATACATATAATTTTCCTTCTAAAACTACACATTACTAAAATATTAAAATTTATATATTAGTTATTTACAGTATATGATTTATCAATAAAGTTCTGGATGCAGAAATTTCGAGTTAATCAGTATGATGACTAATATTTTCAATGCATATATACAAAATAACAACACATAATAAAAATAAAAATATAACAATTTGATCAATGAAGAGTTATCCAAAATTTTATGACTAGATAATAATAGTATTTTTTTCCTGATTTTAGGAATGTGATTAATTGTATGGTCAAAATATTTTCTTGCATGCTTGAGTGTATAATAGATGTTACAGTTTGTTACAAGTCATTGAAAAATTAGGATAGTTATAAGATTTGAAGATATCATGTTGGTCATAAGTTAGTAATTCCAAAATTTATACATATTTACATTAAATAACTATATTGAATATATTTTAAAGCTAATAAAAATATGTAGTGAAATTAGTACCAGTGGTGACAGTACCATTGAAAATGATTATTTCAACAACTTTATAAATCATTCAAATTTTCAAATGAAAATGAAATATACATGATATATGCGCAATTTGCCACCACGAACTTGGCGCATATGCAGACTTGAACTCATTACTTTGCAACCATTCATATCATCATCAATGCATTCTAGGCTGGATCAAGACCACCTTAACATGCCCAATATGCAGATGAACACTTGCTTTACATAAAAGAAATCCACTATCTCATTTTATGTAGTTATCGGCTTTACATTTTATATTAAGAATAAGTTGTTTCTGATTTTCTTATCAAACATAAGTTTCAATAATAATAAATTTTATTCAGTAGAGATATGCTTTTAGTAAATTTTGTTGGCAAACAGTGAAATAAAGTATAGACAATTCTTAAAATTAAATATGTTAGATTAGCCAAAAAAACATAATTTTAATATGACACCAAATATTGTGGATATAAGAATAAAATAATTAATAAAGATGCATACTGATAAACAATTATATACTAAGTTCTAAAATAAATATTTAAAATCTATATTAATATTTTGTGCGAAATAGTCATTTAATTTTACTATAATAAATAAAACCCATAAAAGTACAAAAACAAATAGCACCTACACACTTTATAGTATTTAGGTCAAATAATTTCAAAAAAAAACAGTAGAATATGCAAAAATAGAAAAGGAAACTATAGTTAATTTTAAATTGTGTGATGCAAACATAAAATATATTAAAAAAATACATATATATATATACAATATGAGATAAATAAGACTATTAAAAACAAAAGAAAATTATACACATAAATTAAAGTACAATAACATAATTTATATATTTATAAATTATAAATTTAAAGTACATAATCCGCGCGTAGCACGGAAAAAAGATCTAGTACCTACTAAAACCAATTAATTAAACCCTACGTGACAAGAGTTTTATGCCTCTTAGATATCAAGCATCAACCAATAAATTAGATTAAAACATGACATTGGTCTCTATTCGATAATATTATGGCACATGACCAACACTCATCATCTTTCTTGCCTTTAGGCAATTTCAACAACTCATATGTATGATTCTTCTCAAAAGAATCCATCTCCTCATCTAAGGCTCCAAACCACATATTCTTGTGTTCATCCTCCAAAGGTTCATCATAGCTTTCATGCTCCCCCCCCTCCCCATCAGTAAGTAAAAAAAAACCATTAGGATCATACATTATCGATGGCTTAAGACCTCTCTCAGATCTTTTAACAACAATAGGTTGGTTCTCAGTAGCTAGTGTCTCACCATGATCGTCACCATGATCACCACTATCGTCTTCATGTGCGGGAACATCTGCACTGAGTGTATCATCCTGAACATCAACCTCGACCTCACCGTGGACCGATGTAGAAGGAGTAGCTTTTGTATCGATCAAACCCTTAAAAAACTTGAGTTGAATTTCTGGACTTGTTAATGTCATTTATCATTTGATTTTCCATGAACACAACATTTCTTCTCCTTAATGGGATCATAAAATATGTACACAACTCTTCCTAACCATGACCAATGAACACACACTGCCGTGACTTAATCTCAAGCTTTGATCTCTCATTATAGGGAATATAAACAAACACCTTCCACCCAAAGACCCTCAAGTGACTGTAAGAACCATCTTTACAGTCCAAACCATCTCTGAAATATCACCCTCCAATGGAGCACTTGGTAACAAATTTAGCACATGAACCACCATCTTCAAAGCTTCTTCCAAGAAAGTTATCGATAAGCCTGATTGTGAGAACAAACATCTCATCTCTCGACAATCGTTCTGACCATCCTTTCAACACACTCATTCAACTGTGGAGTCTTAGGCGGCATGAACTGATGCCTTATTCCATACTCTTTGCAATAAGCATCAAATTGTCCAAAATACTTTCCACCATTATCACTGCGGATACACTTCAGCTTCTTCCCCATTTGTCTCTCAACCAACGCCACAAATGTTTGAAATATCCAAGAACTTGATCTTTCGTCATCATAAAAATACATGATCATCAATGAAAATCATAAAATATGAGACGCCACCAAAAGATCTTGCCTTCATTGGACCACACATATCTGAATGTACCAAATCCAGTACCTCGGGTTTTCTAGAAGGCATAAAATACTTGAAAATACCTTTTTGTTTTTCCGCAATGCGAACACTTCTGCAGGTGAAAACCAGAGATTTCTGTAATCACTTCATTCTTAGACAACACAGTCATTCCTTTCTCACTCATGTGACAGAGTCTCTTATGTCATAGTTTCATGGCGTTATCATTCTCCATTGCGTTAATAGCATCTTTGGAGACCGTACCCTGCATCCAATAGAAAGATGAAGACTTTTCACCTCAAGCAACAATCAAAGAAACACAAGAGAGCTTCCATTTACCACCACCATGCAAATTGTAGAAACCCTCATCATCAAGTCTTCCCATTGATATCAGATTCATACGTATATCAGGAACATACTTAACATCCTTAAGCACCAGCATAGTCACAAGACTAGTCACCAAGCAAATATCACCAATGCTAGCAACCTGAGCCATCGCATCATTTTCCATCTTCACAGAACCATAATAACCTGTAGTAAAGGTAGAAAACAAACTCCGTTGTGGTGTATTATGAGTAGTAGCTCCACTATCAATCACCTAACTGGTTTATTTGCATGCATCATTAATGGTAACACTTTCAAGAAAAATGAGAAACTGATCTTCGGTGACGGTCACCCGATCCACATTTTCTTCTTGATTACCTTGATGTTTCTTTTTCAACTTCCAGCAATCCTCTTTCTGTGTATCTTTTCTTATGACAGAAATATCACACCAAATTTGCAAATCTATTAGACTTCACATGCTTATGTTCTTGTCACTCTTAGGCTCTCTACTCCTCTCTCTTGACTCCGTAACAAAGACATCTAAACGTGAACTGCTAAATTTGACTGCCTTTTTATTTACTCATTAAGAACATTGTTCTTCACTGAATCTATCAAAATAGTTCTTTCTGACGCGGAGTTATAAAGAGACATCCTCAAAACCTCCCAAAAATCCGACAAAGTACCAAGAAGCCACAGACCGATCTCATCATCAAACTTGATGTCTATATCAAACAACTTGTTAAACAATCCCTGAAACACAGTATGTGCTCCGTCATCGGAGTCCCTTCCTGATACTTTAGTTCATTCAACTTCTTGATCATGTACATCTTGTTATTTTCGGTTTTCTTATACAAATGATCCAGCTTCAACCACAAAAATTGAGCATCAATCTCAGTCTCAATATGATGCAACACATTATCATCTACCCACTGTCTTATCAACCCACACATTTGGTGATGCAGAAACTTCCACTCTTCATCCATCTATTTTCCGGTTTATTCTCCTTGGAGACTAGAATATTGAATTATTTAACAAATATCAAATCCTCCATTTTGCCCATCCATTGATGATAATTACCACAATTCAAGCTTATCATCCTGTCCATATTTTCTATCATTCACACAAGCAAACAATAACCTCAAAGTTATCAAACCCAAAACTCTAAGAAAACGAGAAAGCTCTGATACGACTCCACTGGGGAAAACACACTAGACGCAACAGAAGTACTAGACGAATCGTTCCTTGTACTTGTGTGAACTTGTAAGGAAAATACTTTGAAGATAGCAAGATGTAGTATAAGCAATAACTAAATGAGACAAGCTTTTTTTTACGTAGGTAAACCTCCTCGATGTGAGAAGGAAAACTCTCGGGAACGTAGTCCACTAAAAAATTCACTATATAAATGGTATGAAAACAACCACGTCCTCCCAGTTCAACACCCTGAACAAAACATATACTATACCTAAAAAGAGTTATCTCCAACACAAGATGCTACCAAAACAAGATAAGAACACATCGCTTCAAAACCGACAGCAACCAAACGACCTCATCTCACAAGGGTTCTGACAACAAGAGACTAATCCACCATACAAATCTAAAATAAACAAGTCAACAACACCTCTGCCAAATTTCAGCTCAAACAGAGAAGATTTCACCGTTGAATTTACCAGACACTCAAGATAGCACTGCTGAAAAACTATGATGATCAGCTTAAAAAAACAGATAACAACATATTCAACCGTTGAATCCAAATTCATGTGGTGAACC